GGCTCAGGAGACCTGGGTTCAAATCCCTCCTTGGCCTCCAAAACTTTCTGGAGAATAGCAAAGGTAAACCACTCCTGGAAAATCTTAGGTACTTCACAAATCTTATCAGGGTCACCAGAAGCTGGAACTACCTTGCCATAAAATGACAATAAAATTGCTCTTTTAAGAGTGGGGAGCCATTAGAAGGATTTATAGAGAAGGTTTTCCTAGTACTTTCCTGCCTGTTTTGTGTGCTTCACAGAGCACATTTCCCTCAGAGCTTTTTTGGACCACAACTCCCAGAAACCTTGGGTCACGATGGCCAGTGGCCATCCCCATCTGGGAATTCTGAGAAATGGAAGTAATTTTCCCAAGCTCTAGTTCATCCTTTGAGATCAAGTAACTAGATGACTGTGCCTAAGAAAGAAAGAAAGAAAAAACCAACATCTTTAATTTTTATCTGATTGCACATAGATGGTCATGAGGAATGCCAGACAACAGGAGAGTGCAGGTTTTTGAACGAGGAGTCAGTCATTCAGGTGACTTTTAGTTTCTGCTTTCTTTCCACCTTTTGCTGTAGAAGTAACGTTTTTCTCAGTTTGCCCCTGATTCACAAGTCCAGGGCAGCCATGCTACGATGCAGAGAAAGGAAGCCCATTCAGGTGTCAAGCAGGGACAATAAATTCTTTTATGTGGTGATACCTTGGCTCCCAAAGAGGGAGGGATGTGTCAGATGTTCTGCCTCAAGTGTCCAAATACTATTGTGGCCTGTCCTGCATACTATGCACCTTGATTTAACACAGGTGGGAAAGGGGATGATTTGGAAGACTTATTCAATGCATAAACACTGAGAAATATTATTATCCACGTATGAGGAACAAGATGATAGACAATATATGTTTCCACAGCCAAGAAAGAAGGACAATCAACAATATCGAAGGTTGTGTGGCAGTTTGAACAAGCCATGGACAATGTGAAGAAAACCGTCCAGAGAACCTCAGAAAGGAACCTACTTTCTAGAATTAATGTGCAGCCATGTTAGTTTCTGAAAGGTGAGGAGGGTGTGGATTGTAGATTGAGTGAAGCCATTCCTGTAAAATATTCAAGCACAGCTTTGTTTGGGAGAGGACCTCTTCACTCCAGGGTATAGAAGTAGTTGGGCTCTTAATTTCATTCTCACATCCTTTTCTAAATGGTTGAATATTGTGTTAGGAGCCTTAGCTCTTTTTTAAAATTGGTCGTTTTTGCAAGGGGCTGTGCAGGAGAGGACATTCTGTCTCTCACACATACCTTTCATGAGGACAATCCAGAAGATCCATGGCTGTGTGGCAATTTGAACAAATCCATGGATGGTTTGAAGAAGCCCACACTAAGAACCGAAGTGAGGAGCCTGCTGTAAAAATTGAATGTGCAACCATGCTGGTTTTTGAAAGGTGATGAGGGTGTAAGAAGCAGGCATAAGGTCCAGAGTCAGAACTAGGACTTGAGAGACCTGGGTTCAAATCCCTGATTGACCACAGAAACGTCCTGGAGTGGTAAAGCCCCTCCTTCAAAATTTCACATACCTTGAAAAAAATCTATTTGGGTCGCTATAAGTTAGATAAAACAAGATAACACATAAAATGCACAGACTTTTTAAAAAGATAAATATATTACACAAATATCATTTAGTAATCCATAACAGAAAGAGCCATCTATTTTCACATTGCATTTCCTAATGTTCCATGACCCTGATTTTTGCAGAACTAATCAGGATAAGGCATTCCAAACTTTACCTACATTTATACTAAGAAATTATAGATATCTTTCACAAATTTCCTTTTCTCCCCCCCTCCCCCAAATAGGTCTCTGAAGAGTGTCGTGAGCCCTCTTGAACACAAACCACAGTGGACTTGCCAGAAAGATGGAACTGAACATCAGAAACCATTTTGCACAAACTGTTATTAGCCTCTGTGTGGCCATCTCTGCTCTCACTCTGCCCCAGGATCCTGTTCCCTCTCAGCAGATCCCTCCCTCCCCAGGAGTCTGACTTGCTGTGGCTCCCAGAGCCCCAGTCCTTATCAATACCTGGAACCAGAGCCCCTTCCTCTAATTGGGAAACCAAGAGGGACATGCCCAGGGATGCAACGATCCAGATTGGCAGATCTCTCCGAGCCCTCCCCCAGCCCCCATATCCCACCCCTGTGAGCCTCATCCCATCCCCCCACCTGTGGACCCCCAGACACCCTCACCCGACGGCTGTAGCTGCTGGGCTCCTGTGAGCGTGCCGGAGGCAATGGCAGAGCAGGAAGGAGG